AAATCTGCAACAAATCCACCAAATTCAAAGAATCATTCATCCACCGAAAGTTTAAGCAATTTTCCAAGTCAAAAGCAAAATACCTAATCCATTACCTACCCACTATTCCTACCTAATGATGCAACAAATGAAGAAAAAATGGAAAAAGACAAAATGACATTCAATGATAAAATGGAGATGCAATTATGAGAGAGGATAGACAGAGAGGAGGCCAAAACGTGAGAGGAAGGAGGAAAAAAAATAGAAAACAACACTTCACGTAATCTGTCGGATTCTCGCCGGAAATCGGGATCTCCGATCAACATTCCGAACATTCAAAAGTTGCGTAAGGCCATCACAAACAACATATTGAAAAATCAGGACGATCTGACGGTGGACGGTGACGGATCGGAGAAAACAAATCCGGGCGGTTTTAGCCTCTTGTCGGTGATCGGAATCTTTGATCAATATTCCGAACGGTCAAAAGTTGCGGAAGGCCATCACGAACAACATATTGAAAAATCAGGACGATCAGACGGTGGACGGTGACGGATCGGAGAAAACAAATCCGGACGGTTTTTAGCCTCTTGCCGGTGATCGGAATCTGCGATCAATATTCCGAACGGTGAAAAGTTGCGCGATGCCAACACAAACAACCTATTGAAAAATCAGGACAATCGGACGGTGGATGACGACAGATCAAAGAAAATACATTCGGACGGTTATCTTTGTATCTTTCCTGATTTTCACACTTTAATTTCTGTTATTTTATTTTAACCTTTATTTTCTGTTTTACCATTTTAATCCTTAAGGTTCATGTTTTGCGCTTGGGTCATTTTCATATTTTACGCGTATTCAATTTTACGCGTATTCAATTTTAGTCCTGAGTGGTATTGTATTTAGCTTCTGTTCTTTATACATTGAACTGTTAATTTTCGCATGTTTCATTTTAGTCCCTAGGTCGAAGTTTGCATGTTTTTAATTCTGTCTATTTATTTTATGGTTCATTTAATTTTCGTCCTAGTGTTGATTTGTTTATTTTCTGTTGTTTAGATATTTGACCTTCATATTTTGCATGTTGCACTTTAGTCATGAGTGTGTTGGGATTTATTCTGTTTTTAGTCCCCTGCATAGGAATAGTTTCATTTCAGTTCTTAGTATTTAATATGGTATAATACTAGCATTTCTACCTTAATTCATATTTTATTTATAATTAGGTTATTAAAGTTTTATTTGATATCATTTAGTCCTCGTTTAATAAATATATTATTTTCTGAAATTATAATTTGTTGTATTATGTTTCGTTTGTTTTGTTTAGGTCATATTTGTTCATTAAATATAACTATGTATATAGTATATTTTTAGTTATAAATGTGTATATAATTTTTATGGAAATGTCACATTGCATGATATTTTAAAATATTGGTTTAATTAATTTTTATATGACATCATTTTAGTATGATTTGCATGTTAGCCTCACGTGCATAAACTCAATGTATTTACATAATTTAATTAAAGGTATATCTTTTAATTTAAAATTATTTTAAGTGGGTTGTCTTAACTGATTAGATATCCGCTTTTGATGATTTTAAATTAAAAGTATATTCATCAGTGACACCTAAGAAATTAATTTATCGCTTTTAAAATTTGGGAACGGAAGAAAAGAAATATTCGGCTATTTTAATTTATCGAGAAAAGATAGTTAGAACTTATCTAAGATCTGGTCTCGATATTTATAAATAATCGAATATTCTTTATCTTTCTAAAGGCCTGGTAATTTTAATTCAATCTATTTTGGGTGCTTTTGAATTTTGTAAAATTCATGTGGTGTTTTGTCGGGGATCATAAATCAAATTAAAATCGAATTTGTAAATTTCATTGCAAAGACATTAATTAATCGACAGGTACCGATTTAGGGCGTTGTGGGGGTGCTAATCCTTCCCCACGCGTAACCGACTCCCGAACTCGAATTTTGGTAATGCAAACCTAAATTTGTTGTTTTAATTAAAATTAATTTTTTTATTTAAAATGGTAAAACATTTTTGGGTGCCCAATCACACCTAATTAAAGATTGGGTGGCGACTCTTCGAACCCGTATTTTATCGTGAATGAATTCCCAAATTTTCGAAACGAGAGGTTTTCTAAAATCACATTGTTTTTAATTAAAATTCAATCGTAAAGAGAATAATAAAAAATTGACGTGGTTTCCAAAATCTCACCCGGGACAAAAACCGTTTCGACGACATGAATTAATAAATATTAAATTCATCAATGAATTCACTTCTTTTTTTTCCAACATGCTCTGCTTTGGTTTATGAATATTTGATTAAATATATGTAGCCCCAAAGTTTAGTCAAACCACTAAGACCTCAATTTAGAAAGAAAGAAAAAACACTAGCTTTATTCATACGTTAACATACGCATTTAATTAGGGTTGTAAAATCGGGTAATCGTTCAGGTTTCAGTCGGATCCTGGCAGGTCGGGTAAAATCGGATACAGGTCAAGTAGGTAAATTTGACACCAGATCCAGATCGGGTTCAGGTCAGGTTAAATCAGTTCGGGTTATTTTCAGGTTGATTTTGACACCAGATCCAGAGATCGGGTTCAGGTCAGGTCATTTTCAGTTCGGATCGTTGCCAGTTCAGGTCCGAAGCAGTTAAAAAGCGGTTAATTCAGGTTCGGATAGACTTCAGGAGGATCGTTCAGATCGGGTCGCTCATTAGCAGATAAAATTCAGGTTGGATCTCTATTAGATACGAATTGAGTTCAAATCGAGTTAATTTTTATTTTTGGATTAATTATTTTGTCTTTCGCGAACGTTGAATTGCAATTTGTAATTGTATATAATTTAGAGTAAATTACTAAGAATAAATAATGGTTCAATTTTATGAAATATGCAAATTAAGAATTAAATTGAATAAATATGAAATTACAAATAAAAATTTAAATATATTAAACAACACACATTGATGAGGGATTAAATCGAAATAATTTTAAATTGTGATGTTGAAATTAATACAAAAAAATACTAAAATTATACCCAATTAAAAAGTTATGGGCCAATTTAAAAATAGAAATAAGTAATAAGTATGGGTCACTTTCAGGTGCAAATAAAATTTGGAGGACTAAATTGAACAAATATGAAATTACAAATAAAAATTTAATATATTAAACAACACAAAAGGGATCAAATCAAAATAATTTTAAATTTTGAGGTTGAAATTAATACAAAATGTACTAAATTATACTCATTTAAAAAGTTATGGGCCAATTAATAAATAGAAATAAGTAATAAGTTGAGAAAAAAAATTAAAACATAATAATATATATATAATATATTATATATATATATAATATATATAGTATAATATATATTATGTATAAAGTATAAAATATATACATGTATAAACTATAATACTATATAGTTTATATATGAACTATTGAAACTATATAGAACTACATTGTTTATATATAAATTATATAACTATACAATTTATATTTATATATGTATAATTATAAATAATATATATGTATAAATTATATAGTTTATATATAGTATATATGGTTTAGGGTTATATTTATATTTATATAAACTACATACTATAATTTATATATATACTATATTTATATTTATAAACTATAGTTTATATATATGAACTATAGTTTACATATGAACTATATATACTAAGGTGATATTTATATATGAACTATAGTTTTTATACTAAGGTTGATATTTACATATGAACTATAGTTTATATGAACTATATATAAACTATATAGTTTACATAGAACTATATATAGTTTATTAGTGAACTATATACACTATTTATATAGTATATACTATATATAAACTATAGTTATTTATTATAACACTATATGTTATATTTATATACTATATATTATATATGAAACTATATACCATATAGTATAATTTACATATGACATATATAAAAATACTAAACCCTAAACCCTAAACTATACATTATATAGTTATTGGTATATAAACTATGATATATAGACTATATGGTATATATAAAATACATTATATAGTTCATTAGTATATATATAATACTATAGTTCATTAGTAGTATAAACTATATTATATAGTTCATTAGTATATAACCTATATCGTATGTATATACAAACTATATATTATATAGTTCATTAGTATATAAACTATGTAGTATATATAAACTATATAGTATATATAAATATATATTAATTATTAATATAAACATATATTAACTGAAAGAATTGAAAATATATAATGATCGAATTGAACAAATTTTAAATATGAACTATATAACCTATAGTATATGTATATATACAATTATTTATATGCTATATAAACTATATATGTAACCTATAGTTTATAAACAATTTATATTAGTGTACTATAGTTATACTTTATAACCTATAATATATAATTATAAACTATAGTTTATATTAATGTACATATAGTATTATATACTATAATATATAGTATATTATATATTAACTATATTAAAACTATACTAATTTATAATATAGTTTATATTAATATAACTTTATAAATTATTTTATTAATTAATTACAAATTATAAAAATATATTATATTAATATAAGTTAATATAATATTAATTATATTAAATTAATTATAATATATAATTATTTTAATATTAATTATAAATAATTTATAATAAAATTTTATAGGGATAAGATTGAAAATTGGCGCCAAAATAGTCATTTTTTCATCTCTTCCCGCCAAACCCCCCCCTTTATTTCGATCTCTTCTTCCGCTCAGCATCCAAAACCTCTCCCTTTATCTCGTTTTCCCTCTTTCAATTTTGTTTATTTTCCCGGCCAAAATCATTTCTTTTGCTTTTGTTTCTTCATATTTTTATGATGATTGATTGGATTTCTAAATTATAAAATAGGTTTTCTTAAGAGAAAGAACTTTGCTTAATGGAGGTGTTAAGCACTGTTGGCAACTCTTTTTAGCCTTTTTTTCTATATGTTCTTTATAGCAGGAATCTTAACTTTTATGAGGAGGAAGGATAGGGTTCTTCGGAAATCGAAATACCTGCTCTGGGTATGGGCTTCTGCAACTCAATAACAAGTAGGTTAGCCATTTGAAAGAAGTAGGTTTAGATTACAAGTTAGAAGGTTGGGAGAATCAAAATGATGCTGATGCAACAAACCTCAACACTATTTTCATTGAAGCCAGCGTGGGTAAAAGCACAATACAGCACACCCTCCGTCGATTCTATCCCATGGCTGCTACCGTTCCCGGCAACGCCCCCAAATGGGCTCAGAAGACCGTTACTCTTTTCCCCTTCGACGAGGCTGCCATCTCGTTACGTCTCAGGTAACCGACATGCCTACTCCTTTCGCCTCCCGATAATTCCATTCCTTTTACTGTGACCTTTCTTTGGTAATCAGATATTGAAGGAGATTAGACCCGATTTATCAGAATTTAAGAGCGGCCTTGCTCATCTATTCCGTGAGTGCTCTCGTTCGCTTTTTCAGTTTTCTCCTTTGATCCTCTCTCCCTCTGTACAATGATTTTTATGTTGTTATTTTACTATGTACTCAAATATGTTCGTGACGACACGGAGATATTCTCAACAAAATAGTCCCAGAGATATACAGATAGCAGAGTGCATATGGTTTGTTTTATTCTCTTTTAATGGTGCTTGAATTCATCTTCATTCTGCAGGGAAGGTCTGCGCCTTGGAAGCATGCGCTTGAAGGTTGTGCCTGTCCATGTTCAAATTCGGACTCCTTGTTCTTTCAGGCTTTCAGCTATCTCCACTGACATATATCTTGAACCCTTCCCTTCCATGTCAGTTTCTTAATATTTAAGCTTCGTTTAACCTTTGCATGCCCAGATGACATGCCAGCCCATATAAATCATCAATGTTTGGTTGTACCCTAACGTGCATATATTTCAGTTCACCCTATCTTCATGTTATTATTCTACAGGGTTCCTATTACAGATGGAAAGCTTAACATGGGAACTTGGCAGGTACATCGTATTTAGAAAAATATTGACAATGATCATCGAAATCAGCTTTGATTGCCCTTACACATTGAGAACACGAATGTTGTCGCTCTCGTGCATTGCATCTCTTGCTTTGAATGCCTTTTGATTAATTTGCTCCGAGTCCGATACAACTCGGGTTACATTAAATCGTATTTTTAGTTTTTGTTGTAGCATTCATTTTGGCATGATTTTCTTCATCTTTAACCCATCACTAGCTTAGAGTTGATATGTGCTCTATTATGTCAACTACTAGTAACATTATCATCTAAATAACAGTTGCCATTATGAAAAATTAGGAATGTCTTATAAATTTTGATACGAAATAGTTCACGCGGAATGCATAAGAAACATAATTTCGCTTTTCAGTCTTACCTGTGAAATAAGGTCATTCCATTTCTTCAGAAAAATGAAGTCCTATTATTTTATTAATATGTAAATTTTTGAATGACTATTAAGGCTGATATTAAATACGTAGGAAAAAAAAGTATAAAAACAGTTTTAGATCTGTTTTAGTCCTTAATCTCAAGTATGTTTCTAGTTGCTTCTCAATATCCTATGTGGTTCTTATTTGTTGAATCTAATGTAGGCTTTATGTTTGAATTGTAAGGGTTTGATAAAGTCTGAAATGTTTGGCATTGTTGGCCATCGAATTCCCTTTGGGTTTACCACTGATTGTATGCTTTCTTAATGCAGGATGTTTGTTGAATTGATGCATGATGCTTGTTGAATTGGTACATGATGCTTGTCGGTTGTGTCTATTACTCATTAATACCTTGTAAATTATTGTTGTTGGTATGATTTAAATCAATTTTTGAACCTTATAAATTCTTATCTAAATAGTTACTCATATGAATTATGTTGGTGACATTTTGGCTTTTAAAGCTAGAAAGTTGCCTATAATTAAACATGTTGGCAACATTTAGGTATAAAGGCTCGATGATGATATTCTAGTAGTATAGTTAGGCTTTTAACCTTGTAAAACCTTAACTATAAGATTTGAGAGCATATTCCAACATAAATTTATTTTGTTTAGTTGATTTTATTGTAACTTTGTGTTGCAAATGTAATAAAATTAATTTCATTTATAATTTTTTTGTTTTAGTAATTGTAATGTTATTCAAGTTTTAAATTTTAATAAGTTCATCATTTCAACTAATATCTTTTTATTTTAAAATTTCAAGTTAAGTAATACTTAATTATTAATCAATTTTCACATTAAAGTAAATTAGATTTATGAATATTTAACTCAATTTATATAATTTATTAAAATCATGTTTAATAAAATAATATTTAAATTTAATTTAATGATTATAAATAATATAAAGAATTTGAATTAATATAAAAATCAAATTTATAATATACAAATTATAATATAAGAATTATAAAAAATATAAAGAATTGTAATTAATAAAAGCTAAATTTAATTATCATAAGTTTATTTTAAATTTAAAATAACATAATTATATTAATTGTAACTTATTACTTATAAGTCATGATAATATCATATCACTTTAAAAACATGTCATATCATTTACAGGTTGAGTTAATTACAGGTCAGGTTAAAAATAGGTCGGGTAATACCAGTTATTTATCAGGTCAATCGGGTTCGGGTTCATATCAGTCGGATGCAGTTTGGGTTCGGGTATATATTTTCGGTTAATTCGGGTTAGGTCGGGTTCAAATCCACAATTTCCAGGCCCAACTCGGGTTCAGTCAACACCAGTTCCGACTCGAGTCGGTTTCGGATTGCCACAGCGCAAGTCAAAACAATTTTAACTCGAGTTGATTTCAGTCAATTTTACAGGGGGTCAGTTTTTTACGCCCTTAATTTTAATTGCAAGAACAATATGACCGTGGACGTCTTTGCTAGTTTAATTGGACGATCATGATCTTTGAGAACACTTTTACATTAATCCTTATAAATTCACATGGAATGGAATTGATCAGACATTCAAGTTCCAGTTTGCAAGATGGTGAGCCAACCATATCTTAAGAAAGGAACGTGGACTATTAATGAAGACCAGAAACTGATTGCTTATATCATGAGATATGGTATTTGGAATTGGAACGAGATGCCCAGATTTGCTGGTATGATCACTTTAATGAACATCATGTAATAAAAAACATGAATTTCATCTATATTTTTCTTATTGGCAGTTGTTGGTGTTTGATTTGTAGGGTTGCAAAGGTCAGGGAAGAGCTGCATGCTTCGTTGGATGAATTACTTGAGGCCTAATATAAGGCGTGGAAACTTCAGCAGGGAAGAAGAAGAAACCATAATACACCTTCAAAAGGAGCTCGGAAATCGATGGTCAGCCATAGCAACAAGGCTTCCACACAGAACTGACAACGACATCAAAAACAACTGGAACACTCGCTTGAAGAAAAGGGTAATATCAGAGAATGACAAGTCAGTACCAGCAAGTACCACAGAAATCTATTCCAGTGTTGAGGAGAATTCACCTGATGCAGACTCCTCAAGCTTGCTTAACATTCCAACAACGGCTGATTTCCCAGAACCATCGACTTGCAGTCAGGGATCTACCTAGGCAGGGCAAGTAGGGACGGTCGCTCCCTAAAAATCTAAAATTACCATATATTTTAGATTTTTTATGTATTTTCTATTGAAAATCTGTTTTCGTTTGAAATTTTATAAGTTCAAGTCCGTCCCCTCAAACACAATCTTGCCTCCGTCCTTGCTTGCGGTGATACTTTTACTTCATGTGACAACGGTTATAGCATGAGAGAAACTTTTGTTTCATCAGAAAACTATTGGGAGATACTGAGTTTTATGGAGCGGCCATTTATAGCACAAGGTTTCTATGGTGAAGTCTCTGCTGTAGCTCCAAGAGCCCATACATGCATGTATTTCATACTATTATCCATGAATCCATTTATTTAGGACTGCCTACGCCGAAGCTGATCGAATATTTTTTAGTTGTGTCAGTGTCAGTTACGGGTTCTCTCTAGACAGGGTCGTGGTTAGGTTGTCGGGGGCCCTATACAAATTCTTAAAAAGGACCCCTGTTGTTTTTTAGATATATTCGATTTTGAGGCAACAATAGTGGCGTTTTTTGACAAACGCCGCAATAAGTCAATCTATAATTGGTTTTTTCAATAAAAAGTCGCAACAATAATGGCGTTTTTTTGAAAAACGTCGTAATAAGTCCATCTATAGTGGGATTTATTGGAAAAACGTCACTATAGATATATTTTTTTGGGGGCTTGCGCGGTCGCCTATCTCGCACCGCCCCAGCCACGACACTGTCTCTAGACATGGGAAATTTGTATATTTAGATAGAGAAACAACAAATGATTTGTGTTACAAGGGGTAGCAACTCTTGTATGGTGAATTGATTTATACTTCATCTGTGATAGAGTAAAAAACTTAGATTCCAATTGTTTTATAGTAGCAAAGATTACTTTTAAAAATTTTCGCAACGCAAGAGATGTCGAGTAAGGATGGCATCTGCCAATCAGTATTATACTGCATGTTCTTTTCTTCGTATTTTATTGCATGACTTTATTCGCAGTAGTAGTTTTTACTTTTTAATTACATTTAGAGTTCTAACTCTTAATTCACGTTAGATTTCAGGAAGTGTATATCTTATGTACCTTTAATCAATAATACATTGACATATAAATATCTTATTTTAAGAATATCCTCACAGGAATTTATTTCTTAAATTGTACTTTTAACTGCCCTAGCGATTTGCTTTCTTTTCTCTCTCTACTATGGTGTCTTTTTCTTTCATTAGCTTGTTGCTGGTAGCTGTGCATATATTTTCTTTTATTTCGTATATTTGTCTTTTTTTTCTTCTTTTAAAATGACTGTTTTTATGACACGGATTTTTCTGCTTTTATAGCACTTTTTCTCTTTTTTGGCACATTTTTATTTTCTTACAGGGTTGAACTTGACATTGTCATGACTGATCAAGATGACTCTAATTTATTATCACGTTAATCTTCCATGCTTTAGACCCTTGAATTGAATTTGGATATAACTAACGATTGCAGATAATTATCTCATGATGCTTGGCAGTCAAATCTGTTCGTATCTACCCGTTATTCGAGTTTTTCTGGATGGAATTTTTATCTTTTCCTTGTATGGTCCTATAATCTTGAATGGTAGTTTCTTAATGATTATAGAAGAATTTCTCAATTATGTATCTAATTACGATTTTTGTCGTAAATTTTATTGTAATTTTGCATTTTTCTTATTTATTAATAAAATTAGTGTTTTTATTTTTTTAAAATATCCTTAAAAGACGTTTAGTTCACCGAAAAGATCATTATCAAACATAATAATCTTTTATGAAATAACATTCCTATGTTTAGTTCATAGAAAAGATTATTAATAAGGAATAATCTTTTCCCAATAGTAACATTTTTTGTTAAAATAATGAGAATATTATTACCTCCAAATTCTTAGGTATTAGATAATTCCCTCCACTTTGGACAAGAATACCCCTAGACTAATGAATTCTTTTTATAATGATCATTTTCCATTCTTATTTTTTGTATTTTGCTCAAAATTATAAATATTGTAAACACTAAGTTTTGTCACATATTTATTATTATTATTATTTTAAATAATAATTACAAATAAATTTACAGGCCCATTTACAACATATCTAGGCCCATACCTGATCAAACCCTGTCCAAACCCTAGAAGGCCCAAAACCCAGTTAGAGTTTTCACATTTGCAGCTAGGGTTTCTAAACCCTATCCCCAGCCGCCAGTTTCTCAACACCGTTGGATTTGGAGAGATCCAACGGTCCAGATTTCATCCAGCAAAAATCTTAGGGTTCACTAACCCTAGGATGATTTTCGGCGCCGCCTTCAACCACTTTGCCCCCTTCAACTGCTCCGCCGCCATGTTCCCCAGTCATCTACCACAACACCGAAGCTCCATGAGAAGCAAGAATGGTCACATACCTCACGGATCTATGGTGAGTCACCATCATAGATCTGAAGACTTACAATAGATCCACTGAATGAAGACCATCATCAGGGCTTATAAAAGCCTTCGAACCTGTAAAGAAAAAAGGGGAAGAGGGCAAGCAAGAAATACGAACGAAGAGGAAACAACACATCCACAGCAACTACAATAACAAAAACTGAAAGAAAAGAGGAAAGAAACTTACCAAGCATCGTCGTAGATACCAAACGTCGTCTGAAAACCCAAAATACCGAAGGTATTTTCTTTAGATCTATGCGATTCTAAAGGTTTTTAGGAAAAACTAAGGCCGGATTCGGTTTTAGGGCTTTGAGATCTTCGATTAAGGTAAGTTTTGTAAAAACCGACCACGGTGGCCGACGGTGGTGGTTGGCGTCGGAGCACGACGGTCGACCGGTAGTCGGATTCCCTCCGGTGAGGGAATCCTAGAGAGAGGCGAGAGAGATATTTCAGTTTTTCTCTCCTAGAGAGAGAAACAAAACTAAGAAATGAAGATAATGAAATAATTTTCGGCCATTTAAGGGTATTTATACTCAATATGAAACGACGCCGTTTCATGGGTAGAACTGTGCGTTTTGGGTAAAGGGGTAAACCCCGTCCGTAGTTCTCTAAATTTATAATCTTTACGATCTAGTCACTACAATTAATTTTTATATGTTTTAATTTGGTATTATAATTTTAATTTATTACGTTATAGTCTCTGTTATATTATTAAATATTTAGGGTAAATACTAGATTTAGTCCTTTTAAATTTATAAATTTATATTTTAATTACCAGTTAATAATTATGATTAAATTATATTGTTAATACCTAATGATTTATTTATTGATTATGGATGTTAGGTGATGATAATTATATATATAAATATGATTTTAAAATGAACGTGGAACATGTTAGTAAAGCTATGTCAATTCAATTCTAACTACTCTTGACTTTTTTTCATGTCCCACGCGCATGCTTTATTTTAATTTTTGTTTTTTTTAAATACATGCTTTAGTTTTTAATGAATTGCTTAGTACCATATGTTGGGCTCTTGGTTTTGCTTTATCAATTTGATGTTGCTCATTTTACTTTTTAGATTAACATTTAATGAATCAACCTAACCGCATGCTTTAGGTTGAATTTCATTGGTCTTAAATTCTCATATTATTGAAAACTATTTTAGGTTAAACTACAAATTTTATCACTCGTCTTTAGTTTTATTTTTATTTTAGTTATTAAATTTTAAAAATTAATTTGTCATTGTTAATGTTGTGATGAACACTTTTTCGCTAATTAGCTTAATTAATTTTGTAATCTAATTAAAGTATAGTATTTATTTATTTTTAAATATTAAGAAAGGATTGTATTAAAGTAACTAGATGTCCTATTCTAATATTCTAAAATAAATAAATAATATACTTTTCCGACTGAAAATAAAATGTCTACTTTAATTATATTCATATCAGTCGAATCAAATCATTTTAATTTTAATATTGAATTCTTAGAATTTTCTATTAAATAAAATTATGCAATTGAATCTGGAATAATAGGATCGTAAATTAAATTTATATTCAATTTCTTAAATTTCTATTATTAGAGACAATTTATAATCAACAAATACCAATTTTGGGCTTTGTGGAGTGTTAATCATTCCCCAAACGTAATCGACCACGAATCCTTTTTTATTATTAAAAAAATGAATTTTTGGTTATACGCAGACCGATTTATCTTTTAAATAACGTTTTATTAAAAACACTTTTAAAAGATGATTTTTAGGTATTCGACCTACCTAACCCAAAAGGTTAAATGGCGACTCCAAAATATTTCATCAAAAACCATTTATTTATTCACCATACTTTTCCAGCCAAGGAAAATTCGTGCCCGGGCGAAAACCGATTACAACAAATATAATAATAATTTAAAAGAGTTTAATTTAGTAAAATATAAATAAATCTGAGTATTTAAAATTATTTTATTTTTTAATATTCAATATAATGATTATTATAATTTATGAGGTGAAAAATAATATGATTGTAAAATATAACTATTTAAAATAATATTTAACTTTAAGTTTGTTAAAAAAATAGATCTTATACATTGAAAAATAATATCTTTGTCCACTCGAAATCATAATTTTTTATATTATATTATATTTTATATAAATAAATATGATGCTTATGAAAATAAATATGATGCTTATGAAAAATAGATCTCATACACTCTTGCTCGTCTTATTGCTTGTTAAGTATTTTATTTTTTAACTATAAATAAAATCTACTAATACTATATAGAACTTAATATAAACATAAATTAATAAATTTAATCAAATAATTATCAAAAGAGTGTATGAAATAAATTAACAGTCTAAACACCAAAATAACAATCCATAATTATATTAAAATAATAATTAGAGTTTAATTTTTGGGTGTATTAAAACAATAATTAAATTAATAATTTAGTATTTTTAATTATTTGTTAGAAAATTAATAGATTAGTAATTTATCATCTTGTATATTATATATTAGTAAATTAGTAATCTTTTTAATGAAATAAATTTTTAATATAACTACTGAAAATTTATAAAAAAAATTAACATGTTGTTCGCAAACTTATCGAATTAAGTTGGACTTTACTCGACTCAGCTTGTTAAGATCTCTAGTGAGCTCGAGTTTAAGTTGAGGCAACCCAAGTCAAACTTTTATAAATTTTGGCCGAGTCGAGTTTGAATTGCTCACGAGCTACTCAATTCAATAAGCACCCTGTACATTTTTTTTTGCAACACTAATTTATTAATATTAAAATACCACAAAACAGTGGATAACAAGGCTCTAATAAGGGAAAAATTAAAAACATCAAACGCTCAACAGGAAAACGCAAGATCACCCCATATGGAAATAAACAAAGCAAGATAAAGCCTCCATGCCAAGCACGAGTCATGAAATTATCGTTCCAAAGACAAACTTAAAATCCCACTACACTTGACAATCTCTCAAACAATAACAATCACTCTAGATCTTCATTAATAATATAAACCGATCAAAATCAGAAAGCTGATGACTGCTAAACACCTTCTTCAAATCCAAATTAACCGAACACCTTAAAAACTAACTACATCCACATCTAAGCACGCCTCAGAAGAGATTAAATGAAAACACTATCACGAAACATGAACACAACCAATGGAGTTAAGAAGTAGGACGACAATGCACCAAATCAAAGCAATAAAACACCCTACTACTCCGACATTTACATCTCCAAGCAGTGAAAATGGAACAGCTTTGACGACACCAGGGGAACCATTGATGAATCAAAATACCCCTTAGATAAACTCCACTTGCTTCACACAAAACACGAAAAAGCCGACAACTTGAAGCCAGTTCTAAAACCCACCAAAATAAATAACTCCATTCTATTACACCCATCCTGAAAATCTCTTGAAACTACTTGCATCATAGACCACATACAATTAAATAACACCAACTAATGGCTTTGATCACCTTCCCAAAACAAGATTACAAGCAGCATCCAAAAGAGAAGGCTGAAATGACTAGCAATGAAAATGGAGCAGACCCCTCCACATAATTATCACCCAAATACTAGAATTTTAACTCTTTGCAAAACATGAAACTCATCGCCCATTGGTTCTTCCATAAAATTGAGCCACTATCCAAATCGAGATGAAGTAATCAAGGACGGTAAATCAAACATAACGGGGAAAAAAACACCGGAAAGCCTGAACTTAATCTACTATGCACGCCCACCAGAAACCCTTCATCGTTCATAGACAAATCTCTTCGCAAAGCAAATTAATTGCCATTCTGCGGACAATTCCCAAATTAATTTCTTGAAGCAGGAGCATATACAGTTGATGATCCATCACCTCCTCGGTTGAAATATCCTCCTCGATTGTTGCTCCTGTTACCCCGGTCATATCCCTTTCCGCCATTGTAGTTTGCACGTCCTTTTTCTCCCTCATTTCTGTATGCAACTCCATATCCAGATGAAGACTGAGGAACCCGTCGAAGATTGAGGAATTCAGACTTATTAGTTTAGTAAGCTCGATTTACAAGATAATTGCCAAGGTGTTGTCAAGACGATTAATTCGGGTGATAGTTAAAATTGTTAGTGGCTCGGAATGTGCGTTTGTTAAAGGTCGACAGATTTTAGATGGGGTATTGTTTGCAACTGAGCTGGCGCGCGAATGATGGAATGCGCAGATCAGATTGATTTAAAGTTTGGTGGTAAGTTTTGCTGGTTGCAGGTTGAAGATGTTGCTGTTTGCGTCTAGCTGGTGTGGAAATATATTTTTTGGTGCTCTCTCGTGCTAGTGGGAAGAATTGTCATCAAATTTGTAGCTTCGATTCTGTGTAGAGTGGATCATGATAGTCTGTGGGGACTGGCAGTGGCAGACCAGCATGTCTTTGTACGTTGCTGAGCAGGTGAGTGAGCCCTTGTGTGTTGTCCAGTTCAGTTTCAGCAGGGTTATTGTTGCTCAAGAGTGAAAATATGGTCTGTTATGTGGGATTGTTTTGTGTAACTTTGTTCTTTTTGTTGTGTTATCTTTCTAGGCACTTTGCGCAGAACGTACCACTTCAAACTCCACGAAACCGAAACAGAACCCCTTCTGGCTTTGAACATGAATACCACCCCTCTTAATAGTTCCAAACTTCTTAAATTCATTCTACACCATCCTAGGTGTTGCATTCAAAGGTAAACCTTTGATGACTGGACAGGAATTTTATGAAAAAGATCTTTTAGAAAGATGGTTATCGGTTCAAGGACGCAAGGTGCCCCTGCTTTTTCAGGATAAAAAGGGGTAGAGAAAATGCCCCAAGCCAATGAATCCGCTTGTCCAACGGATTTCTTGAGCGTTCGACCTTGATGTAGATAGAGTGACCTTCAGCTTCCACATCTTCATTATTCCCATTTTCTACAACATTGTTGCTGGAAACATGTGAATCAGATGCTATCGCAGCAGATCTTGGTTGCTAACGAGATTTTGCTGAACACTTCACAGGGGAATGTGTAGGATGAAAATCGCGATTCCACACGATCGACATTTTCTATCATGTGAATCTTAGGATGAAAATCTCAATCTCATGTGATCGACGTTTTATACTCGTGAACTTTATGATGAAAATCGAAATCACACATTATCTCGACGGCAACTATGCGGCGATATGTTAAGGATATGATTTGAGGATTTTAAGTATTTTAGGACTTTTTTATAATTTAAGAAAATTAGGTTTTTTTATAAATATAATAATATATTCATAAAAATAAATTTCAAAATATTAGATTGTGACACGTGTCACTTAACAGAGGAAATTAACGCCGTAGACGGTCAAGGCACCTACATGAGTAACGTTTGTTTGTAAAGGATGAGTAAAAAAAATAGTTTAAACACCTATTTAAGAATCTAGATATAATTTAAGCATTTATTTTGGTATTAAGCAATTAATTAAATCCACTGTCAGGTGGGCCAATAGAAACAAGAGTCGATCGATTGTCGTAGGATAGGCGCGATGACGCGCAATTACAACGCGCAAAACGCAAGAAAACGTTCGATCTCCCGTGTATCTAAAGTTGGGTTTTATAAATAAACGGGGAGGAAAAGGATGATATGCTTCACATCCAGCAAGGAGAAGTGATCCTACGATGAATACCTTGAGCCGACAAAAGTTTCCCAAGGTCTTTCCTTTTAGTAAACCCCATTGTCATATTTCTCTCAACCGGGTATTTGAACCTGCTCCCACCTACAATGTTATCTTTAAGTTTTAATGAAACAAACGTGATCTTTACTTTTAAAAATATTTTTGCAAAAAAAGTGAACGGTAAGTTATGGAATCATAGAGTTTGATATATAAGCATAACTTACCTTTTAATAATGGGTTAACTACATGATTAGTCCATTATCTTTTAGCTTTGTACACTTTTGGCCATTGATTTTAAAATTCATACGATATGGTCACTTACGTTTTTATTTAAACAAGATTTGGTCACCCGGAGCTAACAGCCGTTAACAACCGTTAAATATTTTTATATATTCACACATTCGATTCATGTTATTCACATATTCTCTCAGTTTAATAATACTTTTAATAAATTAAAATAAATTATATTTTTAAATGAAAATAAAAATAAAATATTTTAAGTTAAGTTAATAGTAAAATATATTTAATAAGTTAATATAAAAATATTTTAAGTCAATATATATAATTATATTATATATAATTCGGGTCACGAGTATCCAGTTCATAATTTTTTATTTTTTCTTCAAACTATATTATTTTAATATATATATATATATATAAATTAAATTTAAAATTTAAAAGTCTATAATATATATAATCCACACATAAAATAAAAAATATATAATTGAAATAAAATTTATTAAAATTTAAAATAAATAAATAAAAATAAATTTCAAATGTTTTGAAGTTAAAATAAATATTTTAAAAAATAATTTAGAAAATTAATGTGAAATAATTTAAGAAATTAATAATTTAGAAAGTTATGGTGTAAAAATTTAAGAAAAATTTAATAAATTAGGATTTTAGAATGTCAGAGTAAAATAATTTGAGGATTATGAACAAAAATTAATATAAATAAAAATGAAAATATATAATAAATCAGTTACTGGGTCAGAGGGTACCCGATTAACCAATATTTTGTGACCCGTGCTCAACCCAGAAACCTGGCTGGGTACCCGACCCAAAAAATAGGTATTTTTATTATAAATACCCTATATTTTTTAATTGGGTCCGTGGGTCGATGGATCAACTCAATCGGATTGGGTATTTTGAACAACCTTAATGTCATGACATGTGGCATCGTTCGATTGGATGATTAAATTTATTTAAATTTATTAAAATTATGACTAAATTAAGAGAATATGTAATAGCATAGACCAAATGTGTGATTATATCAAAAATATTTAACTGCTGCCAACGGCAGTTAACTCGGGGTAACCACATCTAAATTAAATAAAAACGAAAGTTATCATATCTTAATTAACTAAAAATGTAAGTGACCAAATCTTATGTATTTTAAAATCAGTGACCAAAAGTAGACAAAACTGAAAGATAAGTGATTAACTGTTTAGTTAACCCTTTAATAATCAAAACACTGACAGGTGAGCCAGTGGAAATAAGAGTCGGTCGATTGTCGTAGGATAGGCGCAATTATAACGCGCAATTATAACGCGCAAAACGCAAGAAAACGTTCGATTTCCTGTGTATCTAAAGTTGGGTTTTATAAATAAACGGGAGGAAAAGGATGATATCCTTCACATCCAGCAAGGAGAAGTGATCTTACGATGAATACCTCCAGCCGACAAAAGTTTCCCCTTGTCTCTCTCTTTGGTAAACTCCATTGTCGCACTTCCCTCAACCGGGTATTTGAACCTCCCACCTTATCTTTTTATGTCTCTCGCACTTGATACACTGTTATCTTTAATTTTGCCATCCGTAATTTGTGTTTTAGAATTTTACTGAGGTTAGTACTCGAATTCAGATTTGAGTATCGAATATCGGTATGCATCTATTACGGTATGATATCATTATAATGATCAAGTTTGTTAATATGTATCGTATTGATGATATATCATTAATACGAGCCTTCTACGTGAGTTGAAATGTCGAAATGAATATGTTTTTTTAACATGGAAGTTTGCTTAGACAGAGAGGAAAGTCGAAAAACCTTCGCCCGCGTATGAAGCGGCTGCAAACGGAGATGGAAGAAATAAGTCGGGAACAAAGAAAGATCAAGGAAGAGCACAGACAACTGAGAGAAAAATTTGAAGCCGTGGAAATGGAATGCGAGCAGCTTCGGAAGAAAACTAATTTGGAATGCGAGCAGCTTCGGAAGAAAACTAACATGATAATGCAGCAGAGCATGAGCACCAATCGAGGGAGCAAGAGGACATGGAAACTACAGTGGCGGAAGGGGCTATGGCCGGAGCAACAATCGAGGACTATATTTCAACCGAGGAGGTGATGGATATCCCCACATGGGAAATAGTAGATTAAATTCAGATTTTCCTGTGCTTTTGTCTTTGTTTCCATGCACAGAGCTTGTTAGAGCCAGGTCCAACTCTCGTTAAAATTTATATATTTGATAATAGTATTTTGGTTTATATAAAAAAATAAATATTTAAATTTAAAAATATAAAAAAAAAACTATTAAATATGTAATCAAGTAGGGGCCGAATTAAAGAATGATAAGTTCGTGTTTTCAAATTTTTGATCTAATCATAATTTAGGTCATTGTAAGTTTAAATATTAGATAAATTAGGAGTTTTCTTGTACATTTTTTTTTATAAATTTAAGGTGAATATAAGGTATTATTTGTACAAAGACTTTCAATTATTTAACAATGAATATTCATACTTCTATATAAACAGTGCTCGAACTCATAACCTCAAGGATAACAACAATCTCTTAATCACCAAGGTCGCTTCGGTCATGCTGAACTTTTAATTTAAATACCTAATAAATCTTTCTATTTTTCTTCAATAGTCCAATATCCCGGCCCTTGTCAATATTTAATTCTAGCTCCGTCTCTGTTTATTGCCTTATAGGCAAGACACATGCAACAAATTTTTATTGTTGGAATTACATTTAACACTTCATCATAGTCTCATGTGTGTGTATATATAATTCAATTTTAATCATAGTGTATAATTTTGTACGTTCGCGTAACTATAACTGTAATATTACAAATATCGAATAACATCTAGCAGTACAACGTTGTTACTTAAGTTACATGGAATCTTAATTCAACAAAATTTTCGGTAAGTAATTTTTCATACATCAAATTGTTTTTCTTCCTATATAAATTGTTACTTATATAATCTATTTTATGCTTCTTAAAATCTTGATAAACTATATCAAATAAATAAGTATAATATCTCATATCAAGTTATTTGAATATAATCATGCATTTCTAACACTCAATCAAATGACACAAAATATTGTCTTATTAAAAATAATACATGATATTTTTTATGATAATTTGAGCAATTAAACAATGATTGGTAATTAATAATTACATCAAAATATCATATAGTTATTGCAATTTTCTGCTGGAAATGGTATAACTTATATTTTGTGCGAAAGTGTGAAACATAGTAAGCATTGAAAAAGTAGAGGACGGTGATGCTTAATAGAACTCAAGTTCTGAATCAAATAATAATGTACTAATTTCCAAAAGCAAATTCAAATTATATTCATATTTTGATAACAACCATCAAAATATCATATAGTTATTGGAGTAACGCTCGCTGGAGATTCTTCTAAGAGCACGCAACCTCGTTGTAACCTTCATTGATAATAACCAATCATTAACCAAAGTCGCAAAAGGATGATCATGACAAAATGTCATATTAAGGAAGGGAACAACCAAAGATGCATCGAGTTCAACGATAGGTCGTGTAATTTTTTAAGTGGTCAAAAATTATGACAATGTATTATATATTTATATGTTCAAAAATATTTTTAGTTTATTTATAACATGCACACGTCTTACAAATACAATTGCTCGAATATAAGATAATAATTATTTTAAAACTTAAAAATATGAAAATGAAATTTACTACAATTTATTTCAAATGGAGTTATTCCTATTGATTTTGTAAGATTAAGGACTAAAGCCAATGAAATTTAAAGGCTTTATATGACCACGGGACCTTTCAAAACATTGCAAGGAAATAGGGCGAGCTCTTTTCTGTAGAGGAGAGTACTGTAAACCCCGGTTCGTTTGATAGAGTGTTATTTTAGATTGTTACGGACCGTCAACCCGAATGGAAGAGAGTTTTGAGAGAGGGGGAATGGGTGTTTTCAGTTTGTATTTCAGACTTCAAACCTTGCTTCTCTCCAGACAAACTGTGCTAAGGTTCTTTGTGCTTCCACGGCGAAGGTGGACGAAAGGGTTGCTTTGGTCGATCCTACTTCTGGTTGCATGTCTTAATAGCTGCGAATCCAAAAATTTAAGAATAAGAGTCCAAAATTTTAATAATCTTTCCTTAAAAATAAAAGGTATACAAAAAAAAATCTTTCAAATTTCCCTTAACATGTTAAACTAAAGTTTACATTTTTTCCCCTAAAACATTGGATGCACTTGGCCCCTAAGGGGCTTAGTGCATCCGCCCCTATGCCTTAAATAGAGGTGACAAACGAGTCATTCGGTTTGGGTTCGGTTCAGGTCATTTTAGGTTTCGGTTTTATTCGGGTCTATAGTAAGTCGGGTCGGGTCATTTAGGGTTTTGGTTTTATTCGTGCCTATAGTAAGTCGGGTCGGTTCAGGTAACGGGTCTGGTCATATTGGATCGGTTGATTTCGGGTCGGATCAAATCGGATATGTTGATTTTTGGGTCATGTCAATATTCAATTAATTATTTTCGTTTTGGGTCAATTTTGGATCTTCAGGTCAATTTAAATTGAGTTGAGTATAAGTCAAATCAAATATATATAAAATTATTGATATATATATATTTTAAAAGATCGGGTTTAGGTAAATTTAATTTGGGTTAATTTCGGTTTGGGTTACTTTCAGTTTGGTTAAATTCGGGTCAGTTTTGGTTCGGTTCGGGTTACTTTCATTTGACTAAAATTCAGATCGATTTCGATTCAATTCAATTTTTTCGAGTTTTAGATCAAAATTAAATCATCATATTTGAATCTATTTCGAATCTCGATTAAAATAATCGATTTCGAGTTAAATTTGTCATGTCATAGCCTGAGATAAGTCAGCACGTGAATATCAATCTGCGTGGAGAATACAACAACGATTTTATGCTTTTGATCATAGCAGGCGTTAATATTAAAAGAGAAAATCGCCTCAGTGACCAAAAATGCCTTATAATATACGATTTTAACCAACTTTTTCCGGATTTGCTAAAATGACCAACAAAATCGCAATGCGATCGCTAATTCGCAACGCGATCTCCATTATCGCAAATTTGCGTTGCATTTCGCGTTGCGATAGTTGGAAATCGCGTTGCGATGGTCTACAGTGTCGTTGCGATTTTCCCAATTCGCAATGCGAATAAGTAAATCGCAACGCGAATTGGGAAAATCGCAACGCGATAATACAAAATCGCAACGCGATACTGAATTTCGCAACGCGATACTGACTTTCGCAACGCGATTCTGACTTTCGCAACGAGATAATACATAATCGCAATGCGATTTTCAAAGTTCGCAACAGGTTTTAGTTTCGCAACACAAATTTTTTGGGTATATATCTACGCAGCAGCAACAACTCATAACCTAAATCCCTAAATCGCAACTCATTCCATCTCCATCTTTCACTCTCTCTGGCGACATCCGTTCCTACATCCTTCCCCATCCGGCAACAAAGTCTTAGTTTCGCAGCTCGTTTGTTTAGTAAATTAATTTACAACCATGAAATCATCTAATGTTGATCATGTTTGGATAGATTTGTGTTTTGGAGGGTCATGGGAGAATGTTCATGGTGTTTTACAATATATGCCTTTACCCATGAATCTTCAACTAAATCTGTCATTAAAAAAGTTAACTTATGAAACTCTAATGTTACGTGTTTCAAAGAAATTGAATTTAGAGCCCCTAAGTGGATTTAGGCTATCTTATCAGAGAAATGGTAAAGTTTATTTGTTAACCGACAATGAAGATGTTGAACGATTCATTGCTTACATTAGTGTTTCAAGTGATGATGTTACATTGTATGTTGTTGAACCTAGAAGTAGTATTGTTGGGTCAGTAGCGGGTAGTAATCAACTAAGTTTTTCTCAAAACCCACAACCTTTCTCTAATCCAAATCCCAATCAACTTTCAGCACCAAATTCCAGTTTTCGTATTGACCAATTAGACGATGATGAGCCAACATAAAAAATTGTGAGTACTAGTCAGTATTCGAAATTTGATCTTGGTCAATACCCGGACTTTGATATTAGTCAATACTCGGATTTTGATGATGTTTCAGAAGAAGAAACAGACCTGCGTGTAATGATTTTGATATTGGTCAATACCCGAATTTTGATGATGAAACAGCTGTTGCCGAGGAAGATGTTGTTGATGATAATGAGGAGAAAGTTACGACTGTGAATGAACATGTTGAACATCCATTCTGTAATTCATATAATCCTGAAGAAGAAAAAGTCCTCGAAGAAAAGAAAATGCCACAGGAGTATAACTGGAATATGCCAGAATTACTTCAGATACCGGAAGAAGAGTTGGTAAAGAAAGCAGTTGATTGTTACACAAAAGTTATTCGTATCAAGAAAGATGATTGTTTTGATACAAAGAAAGACTTGAAGATAGCTTTGTATACGAAATGTGTGGAAGATGGCTATCAACTAAAAGTTAACAAATCAAGCAAAGATCGTTTCGAAACAAGGTGTATGATTGACAAAAACTGTACGTGGCGTATGATTGCAAAGAGGATAAAAGATTGCGAAATGTTTCAAGTTAGGACTTTTATTGATAAACATACATGTTCAAGAACCCAAGTTTTTCCTCACCATAGACAGGCAAACAAAAAGGTGTTGGGTGGTTTTCTGGCTGAGTTAATGTTTTTGAATGGCAGAGTATATCGGGGACATGAAATTATGACTGACATGAATGCTCGGTTCAAGATTAGTATATCATATTCTCAGGCTTGGAGAGCCAAATGTTATGCCTTGGAATTGTTGAGGGGGTCGCCAGAAGCATCGTTTGCCCAACTGCCAGCTTATTGTCACAATTTAAAGCTGAAAAATCCTGGGTCGGTAACTCATATCAAAACAGATAGAGATGGACGCTTTGAGTTGCTGTTTATCGCCATTGGTGCTGCGGTTAGTAAATCAAATAATTCTGTTGACTCATTTTTGTTAGTTACATGCATTTCACATTTAAATGATTATATTTCTTGTGTATATTATTTTGTAGATTCGTTCGTTTATTACTTGCATGCGCCAGTTATTATAGTTGACGGAGCACATTTGAAAGGTCGATACTTGGAGTAAACTTATTAGCAGTAGCCATGGATGCTAACAATGGGATATTGCCAATAGCTTACGGGGTTGGAAATCTGAAACCTCTGATTCATGGACATGGTTTATGGGGCATCTTAGGGATTGCATAGGTCCTATTAGCAATCTGACAATCATATCCGATAGGGCAAACTCAATTGACAACGCTGTTAGAAGGTGTTTCCCAGATGCTTTTCATGGACTTTGTGGTGTTCATTTGTATAGAAATCTAAAAT